ACATGCAAGCAAGATTCTGCAGAAAATTATCCAAGAACGTCTGGAACAGCACACCAACAGAGAACTGCCAGAAGTCCAGGCTTGGTTTAGAAGGGTTCATGGTAGTAAGGATAATGTAGCTAATGTTAGATGGATCTTGGCTGAAAGTAGGGAATACCAGAGGAATGTTTACCTGTGTTTCATTGACTATGCAAGGGCATTTGACTGGGTAGATCACAACAAACTGTGGCTGACTCTGAGAAGAATAGGAATCCCAAAACACTTGATTGTGCTAATGCGAAACCTATACTTGGACCAGGGGGCAGTCGTCAGGACAGAGCAAGGAATCACTGCATGATTCAAAATTGGGAAGGATATATGTGAGGGATGTGTCCTATCTTCATACCTTCTTAACCTCTATGTAGAACAGATTATCCAAGAAGCTGGGCTGTATGAGGAGAAATGTGGCCTCAGGATTGGTGGAAGATTCATCAATAATCTGCGTTATGCAGATGACACAACCCCGCTTGCTGAAACTGAGGAGGACTTGAAGTGCTTGTTGCAGAGAGTCCAGGACTGCGGGCTTCAATATGGATTGAGGCTCGATATCAAGAAGACAAAGATTCTCACCACTGGACCAATTGGCAACATCAGGATGGATGGTGAAGAGATTGAGATTGTTAGCAGCTTTAGTTTGCCTGGCTCCACAGTCAACACTCTTGGCACCAGCAGCCAGGAAATTAAGATGTATTGCGATGGAAAAGTCTGCTATTAGGGACCTCTCCAGAGTATTGAAGAACAATGGTGTTACTCTGGAGACTAAGGTGTGCCTGATACAGGCCATGGCCTTTGCAATCACGTGCTATGCATCACAGAGCTAGACAATGACTAGGGATGATAGAAGGAGAATTGATGTCTTTGAGCTGTGGTGCTGGAGAAGTGTAATGAATATATTATGGCCTGCTCAGAAAACTAATAGGTTCATCCTGGAAAGGTTAAACTGGGCTGCTACCTGGAGGCAAGGATTCTGACTCTTCATCTGACATACTATGGAAATGTTCCAAGGAGGGACCAGTCCTTGGAAAGGGATGTCATGCTTGGGAGGCTGGAGGGACAGTGCATGAGAGGAATATCCTTGATGAGATGGATTGATTCAGTGACAGGAGTAGTGGCGGTGGGTGTGTCGGAGACAGTGAGATTGGCACTGGACAGAGCAGGGTTTAGGGCTGTTGTTCATAGGGTCATTATGAGTCGCAGGGACTCGACGACACCTAACAATAACAAATTTGTATAAAGTAGCAAACTACACCTATTAATTGAACACTAACCAGGTTCTAAAAATAAATAGTATTAAAAAAAAGAATAATTCATAAAATACAATCCCTTCTCTCTAGAAGTTTACAATATGTTGTTATTGTTAGGAGCAAATTCATACTTGTCCTAAGAACAACAAAAACAGATCAATATCGATGCAGCAATGTCCTGCCCTACAATCCCTACACATTCCTGCCCTACAATCCCTACACATTCAAGCCCATTGTTTCAGCATCCCTGGATCGATCTATCTCACTGAAGGATTTCCTCTCTTTTCCTAACCCTCAGTTTTGCCTAGCATGTTATCTTTTTCGAAGATATGGCCCCTCCTGACCACATCTGTGTGGTAGTAAATAAGTAGTAGTAAAATACCAACAGAAAAGACAAAGAATATTTTGATAGACTATCATAAATAGTAGATAAAAACTCAAAAGCAAGGGAGATGGCTCTTGAAAGTGCAGTGAAAATTGTAGTAGATAGAAATATTTTCCCAGATTATGTAAATCAGAGTTAGGTGTTCTGTATCTGCAACTTCAATTTGTGAAAACTTTTCCTTAAAAAATATTTTGACAGAGTATCAGTAACTTAAGTAACTCTGGAAGTTCAGCCTTATATAAAAATAGAGAATTGTCTCAGCTTCCAGAATTCAGAGTTCAATGTACAGATTAACTACAATTATGCGTAGCTGACATAAACAGATTCCACTACCAAATACTGGAAATTCTCAAGAGCTAAAAAGTTATGGGCACACAGTAGCAAGATGATCTATGCACACCCAACCACATTCTTTAAAGTGATTATGCATGACATCTTGAAAAATTCACAAACATTTTGGTGCCAAATAGAAAAGAAATTTTACATAAAACCAATAAATGACTATTTCAGCATCATATCCTTATGGGGGGGACTGGGAAGTATTTATATAAGATTATAGTTTAGATATATTCAGATTTTACTGCCATATTAAAAATGAAAAAGAAGTATTTAACCATAAAAGTTATCATTAAGATATTAATTTAAAAGTATGAAATCAAAAGACATACTTGTTTATAACTTTAATGAATTCAGTACTTAAAGTAATATTATTACCTTTAGTATCAACTTAACTATGTTTTTAATTGCCACCACTAAATCCACACAAATAAGAAGTATATAATATCCTATTCACCCTCCTACTTGACATTGACAGCCTCTGAAACCCACTGCAGGGGTCACCTATAAGTCAGGTCAGACTCGCCAGCACACTGCAACAACATTTACCATCAGTTCTGACTAGCTAGTAGTGAGAGAGTGAGTTACCTGAAAGATTAGAAAAATCAATGGATAGCTGATTCTCTAGTGGGGTTTTGGACACTGTAAATCATATGGGAGGAGAATGCCCATCTTCCTCCCAAGGAGCCACTGGTGGATTCAAACCACCAGACAGATGTGTCCTTTGGGTTAACAACACAGCTTTCTAAGGATTGTTGATCAGAGCTTCCTCCATCTCTCATTAAGTTTAGTATAAAAACCTGCTACCCAGATTTCAGATTCCTTTTTGCTCATTTATACTCTATTCCTAGATTATAAATTACTAGAGTGTTTTTAACAAAAATTTCAAAAATACTATGCAGATCACACCATGCCACCATTAAGACCTTCCAGTTAACGATAAAAACCCAAGTTCTTCAAAATATTCTCTAAGAAACTCTAGGATTTGCATAGTCCCTTCACCACTGTACCTTTGTAACCTCCTCTAGGATACCAGTCAGAATTGCAGGTCGTTTCAAACGGCCAAAGAGTTGCTACTTCGAGGTCAGCAGTGTGATTTCCTGAGGACTATGCCTCCAGCATTCCTCACAAAGCTACATCCCAAAAGGGTTGTTAATCTCTAATTCAAGAGCTATATTTAGCACCAACATTTCAACATTAGGTTTTGTTGTTGCCATTGTTCAAGAACATGTTTTAACTGTTCTCTGTTTCAAAGAATATTCTAAAATAACATCATGAATAAAATAAAGTGACTAGGCTGCTTCTTGGAGGCAAGGATTCTAAAGCTTCATCTGACATACTTTGGACATGTTGCAAGGAGGGACCAGTTCTTGGAGAGGGATGTCACGCTTGGGAGAGTGGAAGGACAGTGCAAGAGAGGAAGACCTCGATGAGATGGATTGATTCAGTGACTGGGGTAATGGGCTTAGGTGTATCAGAGACAATAAGATTGGCACAGGGTAGAGCAGGGTTTAGGGCTGTTGTACATAGGGTTGCTATGAGTCACAGTGACTCAATGGCACATAACAACAACACCAACAACATAGGTTAAGAAAAATTTTACTCTATCATCTAGTGACTTAATGAATAAAGAGTTGCACTGTCAACTCAAAGGATAATGGTTCAAATCCATCATCTGCTTTGTGGGCGAAGGATGGGCAGAAGAATAGACTCTGAACATCTGCTGGCAATTCAGCTGTGAGTCAGTTCTGATACCATGGCAATAATGAGTTGCTATTGAGCTGATGCATTTTTAAGGGCTCTGGTGCTGTTAGGCTGCTAACCTGAAGTCTAATAGCTCCAATCCACCAGGCTCTTTGGAGAAAGATGTGGTAGACCACTCACACAAAAATTTACAGTCGCAGAAACAATGTGGGTAGCTCTACTTTATAATCAATTAGAAGGCAGTAGGTTTTTTATTTTTATTTATTTATTTGGATTTCAATTTATTCATTGTTGCACTTTTCTCCCTGCCCACCCTTCCCCCAGATAGCTATTCTCTTCGAAAAGTAAAAGAAAAATTCTTTCATTGTTATACTATCCCTCCCCCCAAATCCACTCCACTATGCAGCCTTCGTTCTTGACTCCTGTCATGACAATAATACCTTATCACATATCCCCTTTAAACAGTTTTCTCCCTCATCTGTTTCAATGCAGTATACATTATTTATCCCATCTTTCTCAGTCTCCCTCCAACCCCGATGTCAGTCCCGTTTTACAACAGTGGCCCTATGCAGTATTTGTCTTTTTGTGACTGAGATATTTCACTCAGCATAATGTCCTCCAGGGTCACCCATTTTGTATAATATTGCATGAGTTCCTTGTTTTCCAATGCAGTGTGCTATTCCCTTGTGTGAATATACCAAAGCTTCTCTATCCATTCATTTTTTGATGGGCACTTAGGTTATTTCTAACTCTTTGCTATTGTGAACAAAGCCATGATAAACATGGGTGTGCAGGCAGTAAAATTTTTGGTGAGGTTTTTGTACTTTTAAAGAGTGACCTAGTGGGCAATCTCCTTTTGTGAGATTTACAGGCTCTGAAAACTCACTAAGGGTAAGCGAGGAATCAGTTCCAACTTGAGGGCACACAAGAATTACTTCACTTCAGGAAAGCATTAAAAAGAGCTACTTCAGATAATGTAATCACAGCTTTAAATTAAGAAAACAGTACTCTCATTTTCATTAAAATGTGGGTTTTTTAACTTTTAACATGTATAGATAATGGTAATAACTACAAAAAGTTTAGTATGTTCAATTATTTCTTTCTTTCAACACAATAAATTCACTGTCAAAAAAGGGACAGAAAGAAATGTTACCATGATCTATCTTTATATCAAGTTTGATTCCATTATCTTTCCAAGTTTCAATGTCACTCAATGTTTTTTCAATTACTAAAGAAATTTTACCAAAAAAAGACAGGACAGTAAGTTTTATTTCAAATAAACATTTACATACCTTGGTTTCCGAAATGCTAAACTATATTGTTGACAAGCCAGACCTACAGTTGGAGTATAAACAATTGGCATGAATTTCTCAATGTCAGACATCAGTACTCTATAGAAGAGCTTTTCATTTCTGTCTTGAAGATCCATTAAGAGAAGATATCTGTGGAAATTGGACATAATTAGACCAATATTTCAACTAAGTCATTGTAAAAATCTTATTTCAGTAGTATTTTAAGTCTTACTGAAATTTATGCTTTAAAAATAAAATCTACATTTCAAACAAGTAGAATGTGTTTTTTCACATTACATAGAAAACATCTGCTAAAAATATATTCTTAAACATTTTAAAGAGTGAAGAATCATAAATTTAAGTCACTGTCACTCAAAACTTAAAAGTACTGCTAAAATAACACAAATTTAATACTTGAAAAGGCCTTATCCCTTTTTTGCAAAAAAGCAATGTAAAATTACTAAAGATACACTTTTACCATTAAGGTCCTTAAGTGACTAGAAAGATGTCATCCTTTAACCAATAATGCTGAATGATGTAAGGATAAATTTAAATATATAATGTATATATAATTTCCCTTGATGCAAATGAAAGGGTGAGTCTTTCTTTTTCTTAGAACTCAGAACATTAATTTTTAGAAATCTTTGTATTTTTTTTCTTCTTCTGTAAGTTTCTGACCATTCTTTTACAAAGTAGGAATATTTCTTTAAGGCCTATGTAGCCATCTCTTTTAAATGGACTGCTTATGGGAGAGTGGCATATCCTCTTTGGAACATGGAAGCTCAGCATTGGAAACTCTCCTGGATACTGTCCTATGATTCTCTTCTTTAGACTGCTCCTAATTGTTGTGTCATTTACCACAAAGCTGCAATGGTATGATGCTTTCCAGGAGATCTGTGTGGGACTTCTAGCCAGTTCATTCCAGTTTGATCACTTGCCGAGACCACCTGAGATATACTAAATTATAATTTATAATTACGTAAGACACCTAGGTGATTCTTATAGATCCCCAGATTCTTATGTCAACAAAGGCATCATTTGGTGACTGTCTTGAACTGGAAATTCAGATTCAGTATATCTGGGGTGAAAATGAAAATTATCAGCCAGATGGAGGATGTAAAATTGCAATAAACCAGTGAATCCCTAGTTGTATGAGTCATTCCAAAGAATCGTAGAGCCCAAGGAGCCAGAAGATTACAAGTGAGTGAGGTGTAAACTCCAAAGCTAACTACGGTGGCGTTCTGAACGAGTAGAAGGAACCTGAATGTGTAGCCAACCGGTCAAAAGTGAAAGAGTCCTGAACTGCCAAGTGTTTAGGTGGCATCTGAGATCTGGAACACTGTAGGCACCTGAGGAAGTCCACGCTTTCTCTAGTGAGAGATGACTCGCTCTGGGCAGTCAGGGCTAAAGGAAAGGCAGCTACAAGTGGAACCACTTACACAAAGACAGGGGAATGTGACTGTTATCGTTGTACAAACATGGAAAGTTGATACTAAATAAAGTAACTGAGTTAGCAAACTGAAAAAGTGTATGTTAGCCAACAATGCATTGAAAGTCTCATTAAAAATAATTTTGACCTATTTTGCTTGGTCTATAGGGTTGTTGAAGTATTTTGGCTAACAGATGCTGCCCTGGATGTGCTCACCAAATTGTGCCAAGAAATCTGGAGAACAACCACCTGGCCAACTGACTGGAAGAGATCTATATTTGTACCCATTCCAAAGAAAGGTGACCCAACTGAGTGT